TGGGACTGGCCATGTTGTACATAAACTCGCACATTAAAATAACTGTCGGTGAAGTGTTGGATGAACTGTCAAGACGCTCAAGGCTAGATTTTATTTTATTACTCTGAATGAGAAACGTACATAGCATCCTAATTATCACAGGACAAAAGTCTTTCCTAGTTTGTTGCCCTTTTTATACTTAATATAGCAACTGACTGCACATTCCAATAAAGTTGCATTTGTTTTTGCTTCAGTCTTAAACTCAATAGTATAACCCTTGGCCCCTAGGATATTAGTAAAGTTTCTAGTTTCTTTGTAGTTGGAGAAAAATTGTATTGTTATATGTGATGATGATGCACCACATCCCATGCTGGTTCTTGTGCCTAGATGCCCCAGGCAATTTTGTCTGTCATCCCATTGGTTATGGCCAGAGGAAACCAGTCATGATTTCTGCCTGATTAACCTCCGTAGGCTGAAACTGGAGGCCAGTGTGGAACTATGGAACTACAGAACTCCTCTGGCCAGCTGGGAACACTGCCAGCATAGAAGGTCTAGGGAACTCAAGACCTGCCGAACCAAGAAAGCAAAAAGCAGGAAAGCACTATTTTCTGAAAAAGCAGAAAGTTGATGAGAAAGGGGGGCATTGATTACCTTTTAAAGCTCATTCCTTCTACACTAATGTTGTGACTTGGGGAAAGAGGAGGTGTCAGTATTTATGAATGTTGATGTAAGAAGTTGGGAAGATTGCATGCAGTTTATACTCTGTGCACAAAACCATATTAATGCAAAGTGACGGTTATACAATCAGGCTTCCAGAGTTAAAAGTTGAGAGGTCAACTTTAGCCTCGCTCTTTTTGCTTATGCAAACCCAAGCTCGGGCTTAATGTGGAAATGATTATGAAATTGCACATTGTTTTTTCTCCTGGAAGTAGCATTTCTGTGGAGTTCTACCTCTTTGCTCCTCTTCAACTCACTGAATTAGGCCATTGACCCCTTACAGACAAGGCACCAGCTTGTGCTACTTTACTATCACTTGGGTGCCACAGGTTTAGGTCTGTTGTGCAGTGTGACCTCCCTCTGCAGTGTGCTCTGGGTGACTAGACACTGTCATCTGTCTCTGTGATGGAATTAGGCTCTCTTCTTCACAGATTGGCCAGTTGGCACCAATTTGTTGGTATGGATTGGCCAGTTGCCCAAGGATGAATCTTGCTTCCTAGATTCAAATAGAATTTAAGCCTCCTAGGGAATCTGTGGGGGCTTTGCTCTGCTGAACTCAGCTCTCACCCCTTAGCCTTCTTTGTAATTACATGTGTTTCAACTCAGTTGATTTCAGGCAAGATTCTATCCTTGCTGCTTTCATTTCATGCTTGTTTTACTCTCCCTGTTGGAATTTGGGGCAAATTGTTCTGCCCGGTGTCTCCTGTGAGCTTGGACTTTGGAGTCTGTCCTTGCCATTCCGCAGAATGTCTGCAGATGGCTTTGGAGGGGAGAGTGCAGCGCTCCTCACTTGGAAGGAATTCTGTTTTAATTGAGAAGCTGAGAGAAAAAAGGGGAATTATCCTAGCTGATCAGGAGATGCAAAAGCTAAGAATGGAAGCAGACTTCCAGCATGCCCTTGAGCAACAAATTTTAATAAAGCTCTGGACTTATCAAGTGTCTGCTCCTTTGTGTCAACCACATTTCTCCATGCTCTCAAAACTCCTCCTCTCTTTGGTACAATCCCAGGCCAACTCCCAAAGATCCTAAAATCTTTCATCTCCTGAACATTTGTATATTTTTAAATAATCCTTCTTTATTCTTTCTAGCTTCCCAATGCAGTTAAGGAGAAGAAAAACCCCAGATCCCATGTTCACAGGACTGTAGCAGGAGAGGAATCCTAATTTCCTTGGGTTTGTCCTTCAGTTTATACTCTGATGCCTCTTGCCACACATTTACCTACTCCCTGTCCAGAACTTGTCTGCTCTCATCTCTGGGCTCCTCTTTTTCTTTCCATGATGCCTTTTAAATCTCTCTTTCATGTTGCCTTTTTCTCTTTTCCCTTCTCTCACTTGTATCTGGCTATATCATTGTATTCAGTCATTTTGTTCTCCCCCTGCAGTGCTAAATCCCTCCTAGAAAGGCAGGACAAGCTTCATTGCACAGGACTATTGCTGCGTGGAGTCCAGTGCTGGGCTTGAACACTTGAGAGGGTAACGTTACAGTCCAGTACTGAGATTCACTCGGTGCTGTCTCTTTCAAGCCCTCCTGTCTCCTTTAGTGGTGCTCATCTCATTCCACCATTTTGTGACCTCTTCTTCCATTGTCATCATTGGTGGCAATCCCTTGATTCGAGGATGATCTCTACCACAGCTCATTGGAGAGTGTTTCCTGTGGCAGAAGCCTGTGTATGACTTCATTTAACCTGAGGAAGCTGGTGCAGAAAAACAGCAGCCACACAATCTTCACAAGGTAGAGATCTGGACCCAGTGTCGGGAGAAACCCTGATGACAGGAGACCTCCGTTTTGGTGCAGCCGCCTTCTGTTTTTACAGCTGTTGAGATCCTAACACCTTCTGCCTGATCCACCATTGAGGACTTGGGGTTGGACCATAGTTTGTCTGGAACCTCCCCTCAGGCTTGTTCACTGTGAGTGATCTTGCCAGAAGTACAAGACTGCAGACAACATAGCTCTGAGGATCATTGGGACACACAAGCCTCTCTACCACTACAAGGTCTCAGTCCACAGAGAGGATCATGAATATTTGTGGGGTCAAGTAGTACAACAGCTAAGTATCTTGCTATGGCTCCCAAGATGTGAGTGTGAGTCTTGTTCTGGACTTTTGCTAAAGGCTGTCCCTAACTGACCCAGCTTCAAATGAGTACCTAGTTGCTTTGGCAGGCAAATGGCACACGGGAGCCATGTCACTCCTTCGTGTACTGTTGGCTGTAGCGATTGGTGTGCCTTTACTGTGCTAGCTCACTGGGCTGCCAAGTTCAGTGAGACTTTTGATATCTTGTTGGTTCTTAGCAGTAGTAAGACATCTAAATAACTTCAGTGACTTAGCAGCTTCCCCTACCACCTACTCCTGTTCATGTACTCCACTGGAAGTCCCATATGACTTGGACAGGAAAGGGCACTTACTTTACCTGTTCAGAGGGACTTTTCTGGCCATTTTGCCTCCAGAATTTCTCTTTGTTCATTTATATCCTCCATAGTCCCTAATGGGCCATGGGATTGCTCCCAGCTCTTCCATTCATAATGTGAGCACTAACATGATTGTGGGAGGAAAGAACTATGCATCATCTCTCACGGCAATGATTTTACTGTGTTGGGGTTAGGGAGAGTGACATCAGAGCAAAGCTTAGATGTTCTCCCTGATCTTTTTCTCTTGGATTTTGGCAGTAATACAAGGAACAAA